GGTTTTCAATTCTATTTCATTAGTCCTGAGGTCTGTTCTTGTGCCAGTACCAAGCTGTTTTGATTACTATGGCTTTGTAGTAGAGATTGAAATTTGGTATTGATATTCCTCCAGCACTGTTCTTTCTGTTGAGGAGCGTTTTTGCTATTCAGGTTCTTTTATTGTTCCATATGAATTTTTGGATTGCCTCTTCTATTTCCTTGAAGAATGAGGTTGGAATATTGATAGGTATCGTGTTGAATTTGTAGATAGCCTTGGGAAGTGTTGCCATTTTCACAATGTTGAATCCAGGAGCATGGGAGGCTTTGAGTGGTGTTTTTTTTTTTCTGACTTTTAAAATATTACTATATACAAATGCTAATTAAAGGGTCCAGGTTCCTGTGGGAAAGGGATGCTGAGAGAGAGGGTGGAGCTGGATGCAGCCGCATGCAGGAGCTTCTCTAAGAATGAGTCTTGTGACTGGGGGGGAGGGAGGAGCATGCATTCACCCAGCACAGCGCCACCCACCTTCCCAGAAGCAGAGCTGAGCTCAGGGGAGATGGAGGAAAGGAGCAGCTGATGTGTCCTGATCTCTGAGTCAGGCGGGTAACAGTTTGTGGTCAGGCCCGAGGTTCTACGCTTCCCTGACTCTTCTCCAGAAAAAAAAAAAAATCCCAACAAGAACAACAAAAACACTCAAGAAACACCTGACTGAACTTGTTGCCAGTCCTGGGGCTTGAAGACGGGGCCTGGGCGCCATCCATGAGCTTCTCTTGCTCAAGGCGAGTGCTCCACCACTGAGCCACAGCGCCACTTCCAGTTTTCTGGTGTTTTATTGGAGATAGGAGTCTCACAGACTTTCCTGCCTGGGCTGGGTCTGAACCACGATCCTCAGATCTCAGCCTCCTGAGGAGCTGGGATGATAGGCGTAAGCCACCAGCGCCCGGCTAGGGAAAAACTCTTAAGTAGACATAAGGTCATGTCTTTTTTTTTCTTTTTTGAATTTAGGGCAAATAAAAAAAGAAACATCTAAATGTGATGTTCAAACAACCCTTTCCAGACTGACCCAAGACTTTTCCTTTAAAGTGCACTTACCAGCGCCCCAGCCCCGGGAGCTGCAGGCCCGCGGTCGCGTCCGGTCTTTGTCCACTCTGGGTTGGAAAGGCAGGAGGCTCCTCCTTGCCCACCAGCTCTGCTAGTGGATCTCCTTTCTAAATGAAATCTGGTAGTTCTCGCCGCTCACCTTTAGCTTTAGAAGTTAGCTTGAGACTCTCAATCCTAAACGAACAATGTGCACACCTGAAACACTTAAGAATTAGAAAAAAATAATTTTCTACATCTGTGGTAAAGTGGGAAAAAGAACCCGCCCCAGTGATGCCTTGTACCATCTTTCCACACATTAAACAAATGTTTACAAATGATGTAAATCAAAGTACACACTCCAAAAAGGGGAACGTCAGGTGTCATCTCTGCAGCAGTGTTTCTCAAACCCGGGTGTCAGAATCGCCAGAACTCGCTGAAAGCAGCTGGCTGGCGCCCCCCTCCGATCCCAGGGCTCAGCGTGGGGCTTTCCCAAACAGTTCCCAGTGGTTTTGCTGCTGCTGCTGCTGCTGCGCCCGGCCAGGCCCACACTGAGCGATACCCCAGGAGGTCCATCCCAGTAAGTGCAGACTCGGACTCCATGGCCACCACGGCATCTGTGTACCCGTCTTCGGCACCCAGGAGGCCTGCTCCAAGGAGCGCAGCCCCACCACACAAGCCGGAGCCAGGCAGCTCGCCACGGGCAGGGACACCCGGGGGCTGCGGCCGGGCTCTGGCAATCAAAGGTGTTGCCATGGCTCGCAGTGATGTAAACCAAGGCAGGGGAACCTTCTGTGCCACGGCCCCACCCGTCCAGATGTGACACGGCTGCTCTCTGCCCTTGGCCTTGCCTTCCTCAACTGGTGTGGCACTGCCAGGACGTGAGCAGCCCCGCTTCACCAGCAGTAAATACATATGTACATACGTACATACGTACGTACACACATACATACGCACATACGTATGTACATACATACGTACACACACGTACACACACACACATACGTACATACATACATACGGCCTCTTTAACCCCGGAGGTCAGCACTTACCAACCTACCTTGAGTCATGGGTTCGCTGCAATTGAGGCTGGACCCACTCAGAACCTACCCACGCCAGTGGCTCATGCCTGTCATCCTAGTGACTCAAGAGGCTGAGATCTGAGGATCGCGGTTCAAAGCCAGCCCAGGTAGGCACGTCTGTGACACTCATTTCTCCAATTAACCACCAAAAACCCAGAAGTGGAACTGTGGCTCAAGTGGTAGAGCGCTAGCCTCGAGTACTCGAGTGTGGGCACACATACACGCACTCACGTACGTACACACACAGTGCCGGCTCGAGCACGGCCCTCCTGGGGGTGCTGTGTGCCCCCCCCCGTGCCTGGCAGAGTCCTGGTCTCTTCCCAACAGAGCCGGCCGTGCCTCGGGGCTGAGCTCCGGCACTGCCTTGGCACGCACATCTCTCTGGGCTCTCAGGGTCTCTGGTTCAGAAGCAGAGGCCAGCAGGAGTTACGGGGGACTCGCCCTTCACCAGACCCCAACAACCGGCCTGAGGGTGAAATGAGGGCCCTACCCAGCGCACAGGGCTGGCTCTCCAGGCCTCCGCCCACCCGTGTCCTCAGGAGGGGCTGCAGCAGCCACAAGGACAGGACTGGAGGACTCGGGTGCCTCCAGTGACGTCCACACGCTGGGCTGGGGTCTGGAGTGGCCCTGAGCCATGAGGACACGTGTGCACCGTCACAAACGGATGGTGGACAGCAGACCTGGCCTATTCCCCGGCCTGCACTGTGGTCTTGCTCTGCCCGCTCTGTTGGCCCTTCCCAGACACATCTCGTTGGGCCAGTCCAACAGAACGACCCAACGCTTCCTGGTTTTTCCTGCCTCCTCTACGGCTCAGAATTTGCTGGTCAAGTGCTGAGTGTGGCACAGTGGTCTGAATGAGGTGATTATCAAACGCTGCTAGCCCATGTGCTGCTGGCTTCTCTTGCTATCTTACATGGAACCACTCCCACACCCACCCAGACACCACCTGTTAAAGTGAGGCAGACAGGGATTACCCAGGCACGCTTACCCTCACGTCTGGGTCACTTAGACACGACCTGCTATGTCAAGGCTCTAGAAACTAAAGATAAAATGCCCACAGCTACCGGTCTGAGTAGCTGAGGTCATTAAGAAAACCCACTAAAAACAACTCAATAACAAAGTCTTCTCTGAAAACTTTATGGCATGAACAGGAACCCTTTCTTCAAGTAAAATATTACACAAATCAAAGGATGACAAAATCCATTTTTGGTGGCATTTCATCTGTCCCCGGGATGACAGCGGTGGGGCTGCGAAGGTGGCAGCCCGGGAGTGAGCTCACAGAAACCAGCGCAGGGAGACAGGGCCTCCCAAGGCTAGGAGGAAGCGGCACCGTGGCCGACACGTACCTCTTCTGTTCGCTTCCTGGAAAGGCTCAGCCCTCGCTGAGAAGGCACCGTGTGGCTTGGGAGGAAGCGTGAGAGCAGATGTTTGCTCAAAGGCTACAGCGGAGGCCGGCTGGGTCCCCGGAGCAGCTGCACCGAGCTGTGTAGTCTCTGTGGTGTTACAGGGAGCTAACCAGTCTACTGGCGGTGGACCTGTGGAGGAGGACTAGAAGTGGCCGCTGGGCGTGGAGGACCCCGTGGGGCTCGCAGTGTGGTCCCACCAAAGGGGTGGCCTCTCCACACACACCCCTAGCCACAGAGAAGGCTTTGCACACGGCATCATTACAGTATTTAGACAACTTCTTGCCTTGGGCCAGAATCAACTAAAAACCAAGAAGACAAAAACCAAAAAAACCTTTGTTTTGAAACTATGTTCTTTAAATTCTCTTTAAAATATTTATATGAACCAACTTTATTGAAGGTGAGTTTTCAGAAAGAATTCCCAGGATTAAACTCTCCACGGCACGCATTCGTTAGAAAGGGAAGGGATCCTCCACAAGGAGCAGCTACTTATTTTTGCTGAGTGTCCTCTGCTTCTCGGCGTGCTCCACGATCTTTTCCTCCACGTAGAGCCCTTTCCGCTTCCGCACGGCATTCATGTACTTCCGGGCCTGGTTCTCAGAGTCCGCCTTCTCCCCGAAGTGCAGGTACTCCTCCTCGGTGGTGGGCACCCAGAAGGGGTCGCTGGGGATGACCTGGAGACAGAAGGCCACAGGGGTGCCGGTCAGGCGGGACGGGGGTAAGGCAGTGGCCCCTCAGAGCAGCGAGTGAGCACCAGCAAGGCCTCGCGTGCTGACTGCAATGGGACGAGCCCTCACGCTCTGGGAGGCCAGAAGCAGCAAGCTACTTTGTGGTCAAGTCCAGTGACGGCTGGGGCACTCACGGGGCTGGGCCAGGAGCCCTCTGCCCACCCAGGGTCAGGAAGGCAGGAGGTGAACTGCCATGGCTGTCAGGACACACCGCGTTTTATGTTAGAGACAGGACGCCCAGGCTGCCTCCCTGTCACGTGACGGACTGCCGAACCCACCACTGCCTGGAACATGGTCTTTGCAGGCCCGAGTCGCATGAGTAACTGTTAAATTCTGTTTTTTTAAAACATGCAAACTGTCAGAGAAGTGAGTTGCTGGGGAGAGGCCATGCATCAGAACAGAAGCAGCAGGAGCCCCCGCAGGTGTCAGGGGCCCCCGGGCTCACGCAGCCACCCCGCGGGCCCCAGCCCACTGGGCTCCCTGCACCACTCCCACCCCGCCTCAGCAGGCCAAGAAGCCCCAAGCACGGGGGCTGGCGCTGCGCCTTGCTGGGCCAGTGCACCGCCACCCCTCAGGCCGCAGAGCAGGGCTGCGGCCTGGCTCACTGGCTCACAGAGCTCCTTTACCTGGAGTGAGAAGGTTCCTGCCACCTAACTGTCTGACACAGTCGCCATCTTCTAGCTCATCGCAAGTCCACAAAGAAACCAACTGCTCTCAGCATCAGAGAGCAAACCCAGAAATCTAGAGTGCCAGTTCCCGTGTCCGCAGGGGAGACCCCTGTCCTTGCTTCTCGTCCGGCCTGGTCTCAGGGAAGTGGCAGGGTTCAGTGTAGTGCCTGGAAGCCACGCAGGCATGCACGCCGCCACACCAGCGACGGTCAGCACTGCTGGGTGATCGTGAACACCAGTGCACATCAGTGCTGTGGGCGACCACGCACACCAGCACCACCGAGTGATCACGTACACCAGCGCTGCCATAACTGTTTTCTTTCCATGCTGTTATTAGCCCTTTTCTCCTTTTTTTCACAGAAGGATAAAACTTAGAAAGAGAAATTGCGAGACTGCTGACTTCAAAGGTTTCTTCATGGAAAATGCCTGTAATTTTATTTTTTCTATTTTTTAAGCACTCTCTCTCAAAAGCTCCTGATTGTGAATTGCATGGTGTGGGAGAATACAAACAAACCAAAGTGCCTTCGAGTGAGAAGCCAGAGCTCAATACCGTGGTATTTCTAAACTTATCTGTAGAGGGAAAATTGAGACAGCCAAGACATAGCAGCTCAATGACATTTAGTTATAATGTCATTTTTAAGACTTTCATAAGACTTGAAGCTTCCGGAAACAGGACCAGGACAGGTGGCTAAGGACAGAAGGGTGGAGACAAAACTGAAGCAAAAACTTTTTCTTGACAGTATTTTTCTCTACCAAATTATTAAGAGGCTGATTCTTAATAACAAGCTGTAACTAAGCCAGAAATCAACATTTAAAAAAAAACTACTAAGCGCATAAGATCAATTTTCTGAGATAAGGGGAACTGTTCACGTAAGGAACTCCAGGAGGAAAAGCCGCTGGCCTCGGCCCTCCTGACTCCTCAGAGGTGGATGCGCACGCGGCCAGCGGGGATCAGGAGGCAGCGCCACCCTTCACAGACCGCCAGATGGCAAACGTGTCAGAATCCTGGGAAGGGAGCAGGGGGCCTGTTGGTGAATACAGCTCTCGGACCGTGACGTGTTATTTACTGGAAGGAGCAAGCAATGGGTGCTCCTGCTGACTCCTGCCCCCGACAGACCACACCTCCCAGTCTCCCTGGGAGAGGTCTCGCCCGATATGGTCACATGACGGGGAAGAAGGCAGTGTTGAGAGTGAGATGAATCTGTGCCAGCAGGGAGGAACTCGGGTGGGAGGGAGGGAGTGGAAGATCAGCTCTTCCCTACCAAAGAGCACCAGAAGGCACCTGGATGTCACCGCAGGCCGTGCCAGCCTGCATGGCCTTTGCAGTCACCGGAGGGACAACTCTGAGCTGTAATTTATCTTTTAATTTTTTTGGTGCTTGAACACAGGGCGTGGGAGCGGTCCTTGAGCTTTTGTGCTTAAGGCTAGTGCTCTACCACGTGAGCCACACAGCCCCACTTCTAGCGTTTTCAGTGGTAAATTAGAGATAAAGAGTCTCATGGACTTTTCTGCCAGGTCTGGCATTGAACCGTGATTCTGATCTCAGCCCCAGTAGTTAGGAATACGGGCTCAGCCACCAGGGCCCAGCTGATTTATAGGCTTAAAAAAAAAAGTTATAAGTTGATTTTTTTTTTTTTTTTTTTTCCCAGCCTGGGGCTTGAACTCTGGGCCTGGGCGCTGTCCCTCAGCTCTTCAGCTCAAGGCTAGCACTCTACCACGTGAGCCACAGTGCCACTTCTGGCTTTTTCTGCTTATGTGGTGCTGAGGAATCGAACCCAGGGCCTCATGCATGCAAGACAAGCGCTCTACCACTGAGCCACCTTCCCAACCCCGACAAATCACTTTCAATGATAAAATTAGCTATAAAATGATGATTCATATATACAAATTCAAATGAATCACTCTAAGAGTGACAGAATGGCAACACTTCTGAATGTCTGTGTTTACAGAACAGGCCCAGAATCACACACCCAGCACCTCTTTGTGGAGATCAAAGGTACTAAACAAATGGGGCACTTGTGGCTCACTCCTGTAATCCCAGCTACTCAGGAGGCTGAGATCTGAGGCTCAAGATGCAGAACCAGCAGAAACAGGAAAGTCCATAAGATCTTATCTCCAATTATCTTTCCACGTATAGGAACTCTTCTCCTTCCCCACATTTTACCCCAGAAGAAAAGGTCCTGGAAGGTTCACTTTCAGAAAGATCTGTGATTTTTGCTTAGAAATCTAAACTACATATTTAGGGGGAAGAAAAGAATTAAATACTCTGTGTCTTAAATCGTACATCACACAAAAAGGACTGTGTGTGTTACAAACCACACACAGTCTGAGCACCAGTCAATCTGGACAAAAACATCATTGCTCTCAGTCCATCTGACTACTGGCACGGCAAGGTGGCTTACTACTCTTGGCCTCCTTGGTAGGAAACAGGCCCGAGAGGAGGGAAGGGAGCCCGTCTGCAGGGGAGGGATGGAGACCCGGCGCGTCTCACCTCCCAGTGGCTGAACACCAGCTGAGGGCTGGCAAGGCCACTGGTCCTCTTCCTGATTTCATCAGCAAAGCCAAAGCTCTCGGCCACAGGCAGCACAGCCTTGATGATGAACATGTCGGTGCCTTCTTTCATTTCTTCTTGAAGCACTCGACCTTCTCTCTTTGACAAGACAGCATAGACTCGCCCTGCAAAGCAAAACTACATCAAACCTATCAACTGGTCATGTGAATGGAGACAAAGACACGGCTACTGACACCATTAGGGAAAACGTTCATTCTCAAGGATTTTGGTGTAAAGTATCAGCAGGAACCTGCAGAACTTCCAGCAGTGTCACCTGCGGCTAGGCTGACCGTGCACATCCGAGCTGAGGGACCTTAACTCCATTAAAACATGTGGTTCACTCCTGAGTTTCACCTCTTGTAAACATAAGGAAAAAATGTAAAATCGATGTATTAAGATTTTATTGCCGTTCAAATGTTATCTGGTGACTCTACAATACTTAAATAATATACGTAATATACTTAATAATATACGTAACTTCAGAAAAAAAAATGGTGTGATATGCTCAGATGATTGAGATGTAAATGATGGCATTCATGAACCAAGGCTGCTTCTCCCAGAGAGGAGAATCAGAAATGGATTTGATTCCATGGTTAGCGGTGAGAAGTAAGAAAAGGACCGGGATGGGCAGAAGCTCCTTTGGGCTGCTGGCGCAAGGACATGGCCCTGTTCTCCGGCCGCTCTCAGGAGCACTGGTTACCCAGGCTAACGGTTTATTCACATGCTGCACAGGATTGGCTGGCGGCACGTAGGGGCATCTTACCTTTACTTACCGGATTCAGATCAGACAAGATTGCATTCTTTTCAAAGGGAAAGATTTTTACCACGCCTTGTTCTCTCGGGATTCTCCACCTGAGGCCTGCCTTTCACAGAGCCTGCCCCTCCTTACCGAGGACATCGCTGGTGGCCATGATGTCGCACGTGTACATAGCTGCCATCAGGCGCTGCGGCTTCACCTGCAGTGCGTAGCGACAGGCCTCTTTCATGGTGGCGATCAGCTGCCCCGAGAAGGGGCCGTAGCAGTCAGAGACCAACGCGTCTCCTTTCTGGGATGCCATCTTCTCGCAGAGCTCCATGCAGCTGTCTTGCTGCTCCTGGTCTGGGTCCCCACTCAGAGGGGTCTCACTTTCCCCCTGCTGCTCTCCCAGTACCGTGCCACTTTGCTCTTGACTCGGTTCGTCATTGGTTCCCTGGTCCTCAAATTTACTCAGGTCCCATTTCTCCAGGACAAAACAGACACCCATGAGGGGCTCCTCGCACATGGGGCCGGAGAGGGCCGCCAGCTGGAAGCCGCTCACAATGCTATTGCCGAAATCCCGGTATCTTCTGGCTTCTCCCGACGATCTGCCTGCGGGGCCTGCCCACACCGAGTTCTGAAAGTCCTCACTCTGATTCACTAGGATATTGGGCCCACATTTTCTTGGGCCAAATGACCAGATTTGGTCCACGGTATTCCTCCATTTCCTTCCTGTTAGGTGTTGCTCTAGTTTTCCTTTGAATTCCCAGATTTTCTCCTGGGTCTTCTGATGAATCACTTTAGTACTTGTGCCCTCATTCATAGCGGAGGTCAAGTGCTCCATGGAACGGATCAAATCGCTGTTTTCTTCCAGGATCTGAGTGACCTCTTCTGGAAGGGGCAAGGCCCGCACACTGAGTGTGGCCAGCTTGTTGGGAGTGGTCATGGTGACCAGCCCATCTGAGTCGACTTGGACGCCTTCAGGGACTCTGTTCTGATCCTCTCTTGTTTGGTGTATGACTGCAACCTTCTGTTGTTTGCCAATTTCTTCATTGACCATGTCCACCTTCGGGGGTTTGGTGATCGTTTCTCGGAATGGAATAATGGGTTCAGATACACTGATGCGAATCTTCGCAAACCTGCAAACCCAAGGGAAGCGACAGATGGTGATGATCGGAATGGCAGCAAAGCCAGCTTCTTATGCACCAAAGACAGCACACCAACACAGAGTCCTAAGAATGATTTTATCACAAGTGACCCGCAAGTTCCAGTATCTTACAATTCAAAAGCTCCTTTCCGTTGAGATTGAGAAGATGGCCTCTAATGGAACTCACCGGCAGGGAATTCTTCACTTGTTCACAAGGTAAATAAACCACTTCTTTACGTAAGAATGTTTCACGTGGGAAATAAAGGTTGTAATAGGATTTGACATATGAATTCTCTAAAATAAATCTGTCAACTCCAGAGTCTGGAGAACAAAGGTGATAGCTCTTCAGACATACAGAATTGGGAGCCAGTGGGGCTCTCTGACATGAAAGAGGCCAGCAGGCCACTGGCTTGTCTAGCTGTGTCTTCACCATGATCACCATGTACCACACTTAAAATGTGCCACAAACACCTGCAAGAGTAAACTTCATTTAAATCTACGTAGCCATACTAATACTGAGCATTTGAAATGTGACCAGTCTGCCTGAGGAAGCAGACGTTTAAGTTAATTTGATTTTTTAATGCTTATGATTTAAACAGCTTCCTGTGGGTACCAACTGCAGACAGTACCGGGTTTAGGCTAAACCCGGTACCAAGTTCAGAAGCCCCTCCCTTCACTCCCCAAGACAGGTGTAGCTTCATCCTGACCCTCCTTCCAAATGAATTCTAAACTCACTCAGGACAGAGTCTGGAAATTGACACGGACCGACTCCCATGATGATGAAACCAGACAAACTTTCTGCAGCTGCTGTGTTTGGTCTAGTTGTTGTTGGCTCTTGGCGGTGTAGTTGTGTGTGTACATGTGTGTATGTGTGTGGCAATATAGTTTTGTGAGGGGGGTGCACGTGCACACACAGGGAAGTGTTACTCAGTATGGACAATAAATATCCCAAGTTTTTAAATGCTTGTATTTGATTCTAGATTTCTTTGTTTTCTCCCTTTTCTAGATGTGGGGCAAGTATTTTTATTGGATTTTATTTTTTGGCCAATTTTAGTTGTGAAAGCTAAGCTGTAGATGACTTTCTGACAATGATACCTGGATTGATTTTAGAATACAGACACTAAGATGTGCTATGTGGAAGAAAATAAAAAGGTGAGGAAACATTATGGCCGCTGAAGTATGGTTTTGTGCTGCTTTCCATTTTCAAGGATTAGTTTATTGCAATGCTACGTAGTTACAAAACATACAAGATAGACTTTGCCTGGCACTGTACTGACTTTCAATTGCTCTGATACTCAAATCTGGCATTATGACAGAGAACTACAGTTCAGTCTCATGAGGAATTGGACATAAAAGCTAATAAATGATGATAAAAATAGTAAGAAATGTATGTGCATGTGTATTTTGTTGATGATCACTTATTATGTATGAGGTTCTATGCTAAGGGTTTTTACCTGCTTTATTTATGATCCAGTAGGAGTTCATGGCTGAGTTGAGGGTATTCCGTTTTTCTCCAAAATACCAAAGGGGTACCCTACATCTAAGTGGTCTGGGAAACACTGGACCATCGGTGGACTTCTCTCTCCGCCCGGAGAATTCTGACCAACCTTTCTTTTAGGTCATCCAAGCACCGCTGCAGATGGACTTCTCCCGCTGTGACCAAAACGTGTTCCCCTGTCTCCTGAATTAAGATCTGCACGCAGGGATCGGCCTGGTTCAGCAGCTTCATCCCTTTCACGAGCTGCGGCATCTCACCTATGTGGACAGATGCATACTGGCAAAATGCAATCTGAGGACAAAGACATGCTGAAGACCATGGTGCTAGATACCAATGGGGTGTGACAGGAAGTAAGCACTGAACTGTCCTGCCTGGGTGGTCTTCAAACCGCCACCCTGTGGATCTCAGCTTCTTGAGTAGTTAGGATTATAGGCATGAACCACTAGGACCCATTTATGAAGCAAACTCAGAGTAAAGGTCTATTTTTCTTCATAATTTTACAGTGATATGAAGGAAACTGCCTTCTAGCACCTCACCTGCACAGATGCTCACCAGCCCATATCTGACTCCAGTGTTTACTGTTCTGCTAGCAGACACAAAGTGCCATTGTTATCCTTATAAATTCACATCAGACTACAGACCTACAAATGTTAACAGAATACCCCCCCCCCCCGCCCCAGAGAGGACGTAACAGTCAACAAGTAAGCAGAAGAAGCATTGAAGATCATGTTCAAGAAAGTTCAAGCTGGGCTCCAGTGGCTCACGCCTGTCATCCTAGCTACTCAGGAGGCTGAGATCTGAGGATCATGGCTCAAAGCCAGCCCGGGCAGGAAAGTCCGTGAGACTCTTATCTCCAATAAACCACTAGAAAACCGGAAGTGGTGCTGTAGCTCAAAGTGGTAGAGCACTCGCCTTAACCGAAAAACTGAGGGACAGCGCCCAGGCCCAGAGTTCAAGCCCCACGACCAACAAAAAAAAAAAAAAGAAAGTTCAGCAGAGCTTCTCACTGCGGGGCATGTCTGTGGAGCCTGGTACAGCGTGGGTTCTACAGTCCAGCAGCTACTGGGTCTGGGGAGTTTCAGTAGGTCCTCGGGGCTCCCGGGCATTGGGGTGCCTGGCTGGTGATAATGAGCCTGGGCCCAGATCTCCCCAGGGATGACTACTGTGGCAGACATCCCACTGGTCTGCCCTGCTATCCTGTAGTGCCAGCCACCCTGCTCAGATGTACTGGCTGCGTCTGCAGGCATGGCAACTGGCTCTAATACTAACCCCAGAGGCCAGAGTTCAGCCCTCCGACCTGTAATAGTGCACGACTAAGGATATCTTAGAACTCGAGGGGGGTGAGAGGAAGGGAGAGGAAAAACACACAGCTCCAGACCCAAAGTCATCCATGGAAAAGTACCCTTCACACACTGGTTCTCTGGTTTACGGAAGCATCTTCCCAGGTACCAGACTGGCAAAAGCACAGGAAGGGGGGTTCGATGACGGTCATGGGGGACGTGTAGTGGGTCTGAGGGCTCACTGTCATAGGACCAGGTAAACAAGGGCTGGAGCCAGGAGCTAACCACCACAGAGGGGAGGAAGCAGACTCTAAACAGTCAGAAAATGCCCCGGCAAGCCCAGAGCAAGGGGCAGAGGGTGCATTCTGAATCAAACAGCCGGCCCAACAGAGAGGCAGCCACAAGGAATATAAGCTTTGCTGACCCACAACCCTGGGCCAGGGTAGCAGAGTGTGGCGGAGACCCCTCTGTCCTCCAGGAGAACATGGGTCCCTGGGCTTCCCCCTAGACTAACACGGTACCCAGTCATGCATCCATATGCCTAAGACAGAGAGCCCCTGCTTGTGGGCTGCTTCTTCTACGTACGTGTACACAAATCACTAGTGCCCTGCAGTCACAAAAGTACGCATTAGAAGCGAGCATTATCTGTGCATCTTACTTGGATGTTCTGGCTCAACAGCAACTCTCACGATGGGGGCGGCTTCAAAGCTGAGTGGAATGAACGGGGGGCAGGACGGCAGGCTGCACAGGGTTGCAGACTTCAGCACAAAATCCTGAAGGCCTCCTATCCCTGAAGGAAGAACACGATCCACAGAGTCAGCGAAGGGTGAAAGGCAACCGTGTCTGTGCGGCGCATCTGTCACAGGGCCAAACACGTGCAAACACCTCCCTTGCTACACCGCAGTTCACTTACTGCAGCTTCAGCGTGGCGGGCTTTTAAAAAAAGAAAGAATGTAAATAGCGATCCCTTACCTAATGTGTGTGTCCACTGCAAATGAGCTAACTATAAGGCTGTATTTCCTTATCAGGGACAGACATGTGAGCTGTTTCCTGTCCAGTGATCTGAGCTTGTCATCTGTACAACAGATTACAGTGAAACAGGTTTTGCACAGCACACTTTAGGCTGTATTCCCTTTCAACTCTAATGACTTAAATAAACTGGGAAAGTGCAGTCAGCACACAAGAAACACACAGCACTTACTATAGTTAAAAGCAATGCTGTTTTAAGACAAAATTTTGAAAAATAAAAAAAGGAAGAAAAGAGATTTGTCTTTACAGGAAACCGCAGCCTGACTGTACCTTAAACCTCAATCTTTCCAATTAGAAACAGGAAACAAGTGGCTTCTGGCTCAAATGGCAGCCCCAGCACAGCACACACAGATCCGGGCTGAAATGATCAAAGGAAGAGGGGGCACCAGAGGAGGGCGCCTCCCACTGTGAGCTATTTAGGTTTGCTGTGGGTCTGATAAAAGGAAAGCAGGAGCAGGGTCAGCTCCCGCTCCGTTCTCCAGAAAGCTGCACTTTTCAGAGGATGCAGAGACCTCGGTAAGGCAAGGGTCAGAGGAAAAGAAGGAAAAACCCAGGGGAGACCCACTAACCGTCTCTTTATATAAACCTCACTTAAAAAGGTGCCTTTCATCTTTTACAATGCATGTTCCTTAAAATTACAACTTGAGATAAATGACAGTAGTAGAAAATACTAATGTACACATAGGAAAAAGGAGACTGAGAACGTACTCTACAAGCCAGTGGTGGCTATCTCTGGACAGAGGGACTGTGAATAATTGTCACTGTATTGTCTTCCAAATCTAAACAAATGGTCTCAATAAACATACTAATATACAAGCACTTTTTTTTTTTAATGTGTCCAGCCTGGGTGCTGTCTGTGAGCTTTGTTGCTCAAGGGTAGCACTCTGCCACTTGAGCCATAGATCTGCTTCTGGCTTTTCTGGTGGTTAACTGGAGACAAGCATCTCATGGGCTTTCTTAATCAGGCTGGGTTCAAACTGTGATCCTCACATTTCAGCCTCCTGAGTAGCCAGGATTACGGGTATGAGTCACCAGCACCCGGACAATATACTACTTTTGTAAGAGTTTTCTAAACAGACACTTAAAGAGCAGTCTGCTGTGGCCTGCATATCAGGGCACACCGTTTCACTGATCAGGGAGCTGTGAATCCTGGGATCGTGCGCATTCTTCAGTGTAGGCCCCAGAAAGGGAATCCGAGGCTGATGGGGGTCTCCAGGCACCTGGTACCCAGAGAGGAAGCTTTGAGTCCCCATCTGATCGGAGCTAGAACGTTCCTGAGGTCAAACCAGGTCCTCAGAAGGGAGCCCTGGGCAGCCAGACCCTCTGAGAGACCCTCATCTCCACTCCACTCACAGGTCACAGGGCGCTGGGTGGCACCATACCAGGCTCTTCCACATGGTCAGCTGAGGAAAGGCAGAATCTGGAGGCCCTGCGACACTACAGCCTGGCACACAGCCCTCTGTCACCAAGTCCCATGGTCCAGGCCTGCACCGAGGGATGCTGGGAAAGTGGAGAATAGCCTGTGTTCTGAACTGTAAGTGCTCCTTCAACATTAAAAAATGCTTGCCTGGGCTGGGGAGGCGCTCCGTGGGGGAGGGCTCACCTGCATGCATCAGGCCCTGGGTTCCACTTCTCAGCACCACATACACAGAAAAAGACGGAAGTGTCGCTGTGGCTCAAGTGGTAGAGCGCTGGCCTTGAGCTGAAGAGCTGAGGGACAGCGCCCAGGGCCTGAGTTCAAGCCCCACAACTGACCAAAAAAAAACCCCAAAACCCAAAAATGCTTACCTTTTAACTTACAAAACAGATATTATGTACATTAATGTAACACTGTGTAATGTTTTGATAATATACACATTGTATTTAAATCAGATTAAACATACTCCTCAAACTTTTATCATTTCTTTTTTGGTGAAAACTTGCAGCCAGGCACTGGTAGCTCATACCTGTAATCTTAGCTCCTTAAGAGGCTGAGATCCGAGGATGGCAGTTCAAAGCCAACTTGGGCAGACAAACCTGTGAGGCTCTTACCTTCAATTAACCAGCAAAAAAACAGAACTGAGGCGTAGCTCAAGTGATAATATATAAAGACAGAATATACTTGTGAGCTGGGTGCCGGTGGCTCACACCTATAATCCTAGCCATTCAGGAGGCTGAGAGCTGAGGATCATGGCTCAAAGCCAGCCCTGGCGGGAAAGTCCGTGAAACTCTTATCTCCAATAAACCACTAGAAAACCAGAAGTGGTGCTGTGGCTCAAGCAGTAGAGCGCTCACCTTGAGCTGAAGAGCTGAGGGACGGTGCCCAGTCCCAGAGTTCAAGCTGCCCAGCCAACCCCCCCTCAAAAAAAAAAAACATGTGTATGTGTGTGTGTGTATAGATACACCACCTTTTATGTTGTGACACATTCAGAGTGGGACATAGGGCTGCCCACATGTAGACCACTGGCTTAGCATGTGTAAACCCGGGCACAGAATGAAACAGTTATCAGGTCACATACAAGACCACAGCAAAATCCCCAGCACATGTGATGCATGACGCTCTGTGCTTTTTTTCTCACCATGATGAAGGGAGGGAGGAAGCGAGGGAAAGAGGGAGACTGGTTTTGTGTCATGAAACTGTTTAAAGTTCATTTCCATCACTGCTGTCTTTGCCCATCCCTCTCTCCTAGCTGTCCTGATACATACTACACATTCTACACTGTGGCAAGTCCCACACACTCATTATAAAAGAGAAAGAAGAAAAAACCAGAAAGTTCTAAAATCTTCAGGGCTGCTAATTTCTAAGGTTATTTCAAGTAGTAAAGCTTTCTTTTAGGGAAAAGAAGGTTTGAAGTTTCTTCATTCAAAGGCAGCCTGCCTAAACACCTGGAAATAATTGCTGATTCTAATAGGTATTACTTCCAACCTAACTATTCCTGGTCTTTGAAATATAAAGCCAGAAACAGACTGGACAGATCAAAAAGTACAGATAAAAGTGCCTGAAAAGCATACAGTGCTGTAAACACACAAGATGGACTCATCTCCTGATTCCTGGACGCCTATGGGAGGGCAGAAAGCAGGGACCCGCCAGCACCTCTCAGGAGCCAGCTCCTCTCATCAAAGGAGGCTGGACAGTGGACGGGCCCCACGCCAGGACACCACAAGGTTTCCTAGCGGATATCCTGAAACCACGTGGTCAAATCTGAACACAAGATTTCAAGAATTGGGCAAAAAAGTTCCTTCTGAAAAAGAACTTTATATTCTAGCTGAGTTGCAACTAGTTAATTGGCAGTACAATGATCATCATAACAATGACATGTCTGGGAAACAAGGCAGGAGGAATCTTGAATTCTACAATACCAGTTAACTGAATGAAATGCAGAGTTTCATTTTCATTCATAGATACAGAAGAAAAAAAATGTAAGTAAAGAACTGTTGAAGATACATCTCATGAGAATTTTTGTGTGTGTGTCAGTCGTGGTGCTGGAACTCTGGGCCTGGGCGCTGTCCCTCAGCTCTTCAACTCAAGGTGAGGGCTCTACCACTTGAGCCATGGCACCACTTGCAGTTTTCTGGTGGTTAATTGGAGATAAGAACCACACAGACATTCTTGCCCAGGCTGGCTTTGAAGGGTGATCCTCAGATCTCAGCCTCGCGAGCAGCTAGGATGACAGGCGTGAGCCACCGGTGCCTGGCCTCATGAGAACTTTTTGAAAAGTTTGCCGAAGTAAACAAGGTTAGGAGGCCTTCTTTCTAAAGTAACAAATAGAGTCAGAATAATGATGTGTTCTAAAGCAGGTAACCTAAGAAAATAAGTACAAGCAGATGAACCTTCGCTCTAGCAACAACAAAAATCAGATTCATGCACAGATAATCAATTGTTAGTAATTACCATGATCATATCAAACTGTGTGCTTTAACCAGCATTACTTTATTTGGGTTTCACCACATGATAAGCTGCAAAGCCTTGCATATTACATATAGATAAAAGGATTAGCAAATCTGAAAATGTGTCTGAAGAGAATGTGATAAAGTAACCAAGCAGAGATTGCACACACCCGCAGTGCACTGAGCCTCCCCTGAGCTGTATGAGCACAGACATTGCACACACCCGCAGTGCACTGAGCCTCTCCTGAGCTGTCTGAGCACAGACATTGCACACACCCGCAGTGCACTGAGCCTCCCCTGAGCTGTCTGAGCACAGACATTGCACACACCCCCAGTGCACTGAGCCTCCCCTGAACCAACAGACTGATAATGCACTCAATGCCACTCTCACAGCACAATGGAGAAAGCGGGGTGTGCTGCTCTGTGAGAGAAGGAACAGCATGGAAGAATGGACAGCTGCCTGCTACCAGTGCAGCTGAGAACCAGCTCAGAGATGTTCCTTCATTTCTGTGAGTGTCTGGATTTTGCAAAAATCATATATTACTTTAGAAATTCATGAGAAATAATATAACAGATACACTTGTCAACAAAGAACTGGTATTACTTTTACAACAAAAATTCAAGCTATGTAACTGTTTAAAAAAGAAACAAGGCAGCCCAGCACTGTGCTAGGATGTGTCAGCACTGGACCTAAAACCGGAACGGCGGACCTCGAGATTAAGTATACCTGACAGAGGCCTTGCTGTACAAAAGAAACCTGACTGAACTCGTACTTCTGAGCAGCCTTGTTAGGATCCCAGGCCGAGAGTGCCCGGAGCCTCCTCAACATGTACCCCACTACAAACCGGCCAGCTTTGTTTACAAGTGAAAAATAACTATATTCTCTAGCTATCA